GTTTACGCGAGTACACATTTCGATAAAACACTTTAACGGTTTATAACGCGATATATTATTATGTAGGTGAAACTTTGTCTTCCGGTGATCACGGCTGCTGTAAGGCATCCGAAACGTCGGACCGTAGTTACAATTTTCAAATAAGTTTCTAATATATTACCGCTAAACACTTAAAGGGTTACATTTAAATATATAATGGCGTCAATTATATAAAGAAGATCTTATATCGATTAAAAATCGAAAATAAATTGATTTTTCGGCTCAAACAGGACTTGAACCGGCATCGTCAGTGTTCCGGGCTGTTGCTCTACCAATTGAGCTACCGAGTCCTACACTTAATGTTTAATATAGTGCCATCATGTGCAATAACATGTAAAAAATATTAAAGTTATCAAAAAAGATGTTATGCATATACATATTTGCATAAATCGTTGATTTTCAATACAATATCTATGTTTTAAAGTGTCCACAGATCATGAATAACGCAGCGAATGTGGCAAGTGGCCGTAATGAGTGAATTAACTCGTCTTCGCGTTCAATCGAAGTGACGTCACTAATCCCCCGCACCACGATAGTGCAGATACTGAATTTTAATAAGAATCGATCGCATTTGCCCTACATTTAGCAAGGGACGCACGTACAATGACCTAGCGGCTCTTTTATTGGTAGGGTGTCGGTGTCATATGTTCCAAGTAAACAAAAGTACTATTAAATTGTTAGAATACTTATATAATAGTAAGAATAGTATATTTGGATATAATAAAAAAAAATATCACAATTTAGTATTTCCTCGATACTAAACTGTGTTTCTGCGACTCGACAGTTGAATTACCAATATTAAAATAAAACACTTTTAACGGGTTTAAAACGTTAATCTTTGCTTTCAGTAGTCACAGTTACTTAGTGAAGATATATTTCTAGTTCTAAACTGTTGAATTGTTAATGTGTCCGTACAAGCGTAAACTATAGGCATTCACAGCAATTGTTAAATATAACAATTTAAATGAAACTAAATGTTTTAAAATGCAATATACAATACATTAATTACAGAGTTACTTATAAAAGAAGGGTGTTAAGTACTAAAAGACACTAAATTTTTTTGGCATTGTACATCCAGAAGTCGTTTTTTAGTAACGGTTTCATTAACCTATACAAAGTAAATTCTTTTTTGATATGTCCGAGGTTCGATTACTCGACCATTAGAGTGACTTGGAAAAAAAATTAAAAATTAGATTACAGATAGAACAATAATATAGTAGATACTACCTACATTAAAAACGACCAAATTTAAAGGAAAATAATTTTCCTCTGAAAACGTTCGCAAATTGTATAAAATAAACGGAATCGTTTAACTGTAGCGATTTGAAGTTCATTGTCCACTCTCTAGTTAATCTGAAAAGTCCAATGTCAAGATCGTGGTCGACAATCGGACACCTGTCGAGAAAAAAGCCAGATCACGAATTATCCAATGGAGATACTTTACTGCTTCATTTTTCGGGGACGATGAGCTCAACACGAGCGGAGCGATTTCAAATCGCAGTTAATAAAACAAGATATACAATAACTTGTTATTTAACAATTAATTTATCAATGCTTTAAAATTAATTTATAGTAAAACATAAATATAATATATACGTCAACTCATCTATTTCAATTATTAGCAATTTATTTTAAGATCTTTAATAGTTAAACTTTGTCCTCCCTTCTTATAATAAGCGTAGTAGTAGCTTATATAATATGTTTGTCATTTGTATTGCATATTCTCTTACTTAACCATTTAACCGATCGAGATTTCCAGACGATGTAGAATATGTTTCATGGACCCGTTGGGGATCGAACCCACGACCCATTGATTATTACGTATACATTACTACCATTACACCAACGAAATCATCAAACAATGGTGAATTACAAGTGCATCTAAATAGCGAGAAACAATATCGCTCCCGCTACCTCTCCGGTCGTGCGCCAGCCCTCACCCCGCGTACCTTCGCGTCCGAACCGCTGATACAACGCGTGACCGTGTCCACTAAAACGATCTCTTTATTGATTAAAAGATGTTTACCGTAACCGCCTTCGAAACAAAAACGTTTAGAGAATGAAAATAGGGAATGCTTAAGATATATCTACGTATACAATGGCTCTCTATTTATTAAGCTTAAATATATGAATTTAAGATAAATATTTGAATTTATAGAAGATTTTCATTATAAACGTTGCTAGTAATTGTAAAGATTATGACATCATACACATCTATCAATTGCTCTTGGTTAAGTGGTATTATTCAATATTTATTTATTATGCTAAAAAATATAAATTTCAGAGATTTTGTAAATGGTAGATTATAATTTTCGAGGTTAGTAATTTTAGATCATCTAATTGGTCTGTTAAGGGTTCTTATAGGACTTTACAATCTCGAAGAAGAGTTAATGCTCACTATTTATGAAGCTTGCATGTAGAATTCACACTAAATACGGTATTTAGTTAATACTTATATCTTGTTATCAAGATAAGAAAGAAATGATTGTATAAACGAATTCTTATTAGTAATTTTTATTCTTGTTATAAATCACTAGTTACAGACAATCGAATTTCATTTTACACCTCGCATCTTATGGCTTGTTTCTACTTCTTCTGTCTTAATCATTTATAAAAGAGAGCATTAGCGTATAAAACATCGGGCAACCAATAGGAGAAAAGAAACAGAAGTAGTTTTGTGAATGTGAATAAAATTAACGGAATTAGCTAGGCAATTGTTGACGCGAATTTCTTTTAATATTACCCATTTTCAGAGTTCTCTTATAATGGCAAAATATAACGTCTGAAACACAACGGTGCGAACGACCAATATTGTATGAACGGGGTTCGGGTCATTTCCCGGAAGTGGGATGTTTGTGGCTTCCGGTCGACATTGGCAAATTGACCAATAGCTTAGTCGACGTTAGACGCATTGTGTTTAAAACCATTAACTACCATTTTGCTCACAACGCTTAAACTACAAAACGAGAGATTCGTATCACGAAATCAAAATTTCCAAATAAGAGCAAATATATATATCTTTTAAATAAAACACTTTAACGGTTTGAACCACGATATATTAGTTAAACTTATTTGAAAATGATTTTTAACTTCGGCCCGACGTTTCGTCACGGGGAGTTTTAAACCGTTAAAGTGTTTTATTTAAGAGTGTACTACTCGCGTAAACTATAGACAGTATTTAGCAAATTATCTATTAAGCTATCGCTATAAAAAAAACATATTAAGCGTTTATTGTCTGTGGTTTACGTTAGTATTACACATATAAATAAAACATGTATAACGGTTTAAAACGTGAAACATTCTAGTAGCAGTCTCTCCATGATCGTGGTCATGGAGAGACTGCTACTAGAATGTTGCTTGCTCCAAAGCATCCGAAATGTCGGGGCGTAGATAAAACAAATACTTAACAAGTTACCTAATATATTTCGCGTTTATAACCGTCAAGATTTTCTACGCGCGACATATTAAAGGGAGGAGTGATAATGAGATAACTCTATAGACACGTAGGTATATTAGTGCATCAGAATGTCTAAAGTTCAACATTGAATATAACTGATACTGAGCCATCAAATACCTATTTTACGTAAAGCCGTGATCTCAGCTTGATATTGATTTACTGGAGCGGGCGTGGCGCAGACGATACCTAAATCCAATTTATTCACTGTAGGTAGAGTAAAACCCCGTTTCGCTTCCACGGGACAAACATATTAATATGTCTGTTGGGTCTTGCAAGAGAATTTGAAGTAGAATATAGAGACTTACGTCTCTGTAGTATCTTACTAAGTATTGTCCGTTTACGCGAGTATGACACATTTAAATTAAACACCTTTGACGGTTTAAAACGCGAAAATATTTGTTAACTTTTATAAACAATTATTTTGAAGTACCGCCCAATTTTGGTTAGTTTTGGATGCTTTGTAGCAGCCATGATAAGTTAATATATTTTGCGTTTTCAATTGTTAGAAGTGTTTTATTTTGTTATCTCCCTTGTTGATATGTTAAACATCGCTGTGGATACTAAAGAATTTTCTATAGGCAAGTAGCCGACTATTACGAGTAGGTACGGATTCGAACTCAATACCTTTGGTGCTAACCGCGTTGCTACGCTTTAGCGCTTAGTCATGCCATGGTGGCACGAAGTATGTAGGTAATTACATTTCTGTGTTGTAGCAAGTACCTATAAAAATTTATCATATTCTCGCGAGGTGCCGAGTGAAGACACGAAATAATGCAAATAAAACTATGCTACGATGGCACATTCTTTTTTAACTTGCTTTATACAGTTTAATATGCTAAGCGCCTTATTAATTTGTTTTTAATAGTCACTTATATAACGTAATATACCTACCTACCTCTACGAAACGTAGGTAATTAATTACGGCACATCTCAACGTCAAAAGAAGTCGACAGTCCATCTTGTTTAGATATTATAGGTATATTGGTTGGGGATATTTTACCTACCGTCAAGTGAGCCGTAAGTGTAGTCGAGAATACTATAAAGCCAAAGGATAAGCGACAATCCTGTCGCAACATTCAGATAACGTAGCGTGACGTATGATTAATGTTTACGTAAACATCTCCCGTTGAATTCCAATCGTAACAGGTGCGGCCACACCCATCGTATTATTCATCCTAAACGATCCTAATTAATCCAGCCCGAACCGGGACACGAACTGCAACGCAGCCTCAACTGGCGAACGTCCAACCAACATTCCACTTATTATATTCTATCAGCGGACGCTGTAAACGTATTCCGAACATATCACGTAGGACTACTAGCAATTTTAACCAATCACAACGCGACAATTCAACTTAATCGCGCCGGCCACGCCCAATCACGTAACCGCCTATTACGGGCCGTAACGACGAAGGCTTTTAACGCGACGACGATAACCGATCGCCGCGGCCGTCCCGCTCGCGTGTAGCGCGGTGTTTCTTTCTAATTCACCGATCGGGAAAGTCTAGGACGAGGGCAATAGAGTCTCGTTTGGCGCGTGCTCAGCCTCAGTTGCACGTCCGAGGTCGCGAGAGGGGGTCGCGTGCAACTGTTTTCGATAATCGGCCGCGCGTTCCGTACGTGAAAATCGGACAGTACACGGCCGGTCACGTCTGCGTAAAAACGGATATATGCCCAGAATATTTATTAAGTGGGTGGTTGTGCGTGACTTTTCCCCCGCGGATAGTCCCGGTAGATCGCGAAATAGAACGGTCTGTTTGACAACTGGAAACGTGACTGTGTTTACCTAATCTGTAGCGAAGACGGTCTGTGGACTGTCGAGAATGGATTCGATTTTTGAAATTTCAAAATGTGCGCGCTCTTGAAGAGACTGTAGTTTAAGTTGACTCTGTGACGATGTTGCCATACCAAGCGGTGGCGATGGACTATGTGGCCGGTTTCCCTCATCACCAGCGACCTGGGTTGCCCGGAGTGATGGGTCTGCCGGGGCCCGGCCCGGGATTGAACCCGGGGCTGAACACTGCCTTCACCCATTCCTGGTTCGTACAGACAAGCCCGGATATCTGTCGGCAGCAACAAGCATCCAACCAATCGCATCTTGAACCTGGGCACGTTTCATTTTTTTATTTATATTTTTACTTTTATTTACGATTTTTATAGAACCTAATGATTGCGGTTGTTCATTGATTGAATCAAAATATATATATACATTTTACAGACTACATTTTAAAATAAATGAATATCACTAAATTAACAAACGATAATTTAAAAATTGTTTAAATCATATATAATAATGATTTATGTTTATTTTTTATTTAAAGCAACTTAATTTATTTTAAACTCAGAATATTTAATCAATGAGCAATCGCTTTGAAAAAATATGTTGTAACGTGGCTGTAATTTTATTTGCATTTAATTTAATTAAATTGCTTTTTGTTTATGTGCTTCCTAATTGTTTACTCGTAACATTAAAAGTGGAATAGTTAAAAACTAGTTTACTGCGAAGCAGATATGTGCAAATATAATGTTAGATAGAGATCTCGGTTTAATGTTTTTACAACACGACAAAGGACGTTAATGCGCCACAGTGTATAAATAAATAGATAAGACTCAAAAAGAGATATGTCTACAGCAACCATAGAGTTAAAAACTATTGAATTAGTTATTTTGTTTAGATTTCCGTCCACAACACTCCGACACACAGTCAAAACTATATATCTTTAAAAAAATTACTCGGCATAGATAATCAGTAATTTATTATTTATTTAAAACTAGTAATTAATCGAATATAACAGTGGCAAAGTTGTTGTATAGTAAGTACCTTTATAAACGAGAACTTTGAAAGTATTAAAATAAAGAGTGTAATAGTTATAAATGTAGGTTAAGATAAACGGTAACCAACTCAATCGTATTTAAATCTAATTGCACTGGTACATACGTAATATTTACAATTCGTATTTAAAATAACAAACAGGACAGAGTTGCTTAAAGTAAGATTTTATCTTCCCATGACTTGTATAACTTGTCATGCTCTAAGAAAGAGTAGCATTTGTATCTACATTCATTACTTTGTTTAAATTAAACAGACTAGACTTCTTACTATGAACATATTTTTAATACATTTATTGTTTTTAAATTTTATATTAAATATTCGAAACAACGGAAGAATGACTGCGTTCTAAATTTAAATTTATTTCTAATTTAAAATTAATTTAATATATAAAATAATACTAAACTCATATTAAATTATAATTAAAAATAATTAAGTTTTTACTCATTATTAGAAATTTTTAAATTACTTAAACCCAATACCTCTCGTCAAATTGTCGTCTAACTTAGGCCTTCATTAATTTCTTTCTTAATAATTATTGATAATGGTAGTTAATATTGCACAGCAAAAAATGATATAATCCCAAGGTAATAAAATAAAATGATACGACATATTAAATGCGGAAAACGTCTGATCTATATCTTTTTACGTCTTTAAACAAGACAATACAACGATATCACAACATCAGGTTTGGCCTTCGTAATTTGTCGTTTTCTCAGAAATACCTCTCCCATAATGAGACATGTTTAAACACCAGATCTTTCGCTACATTTCCTTGCATAAACATAATTGTCTTTTAGTTTTCATTCAACTTTTTAACAAGTATATAATTCGGTATCTACCCGCCTTCGTAACTAAATTGTTTGTCCCGTGTTCGGTATGGAACACAATTTGGCTTAAATATTATTAAAAGGAGCAGAGAAATCTGTCCCAAACCCCAAGCATAGGATACAGGATACTTACATATACATCTTAATGTAATCGTCGTCATGAACCATGTAGCAATAATATTACGCTATTGCTTCATAGAACAGACACGCTTTAGTGTTTGTTTCACTAAACGTATTTATATACAAAGACTTTATCGCACTTCTGGACCGACAATTTTCTCATCAAGGTTTCCCAGGATTCGATCGCGGGTCTTCTTGCGTTTATAGCATTACGTTCGCGATCTATTTAGCCATGGAGAAAGATTTTTTTATTGCAGAGTACAAAAAAACAAATAAACAATTAAAACTGTCTATAGTTTACGAGTATACGAGAATAAAACACTTTAACGGTTTAAAACGCGATATATTAGCTACCTAATACATCGCGTTTATTCCGTTAAAGTGTTTTATTTAAACAAAAAAACAATTGCTAGTTTATCCACCAAATCTCACTAAGCCAACATATAGAAATTCTACTAGTAGAACTCTAGTTGTCAAACGAAAAAAAAACAATTCGGCTCTGATCTATAATCGAATTTACAGAGGAAACGTCCAATTTGCCGCTTGTTTTTTACGAAGATTACTGAAGACGGTTAGTCTGTGGTTTAGCGACCGTTAAGCGATGTTGTCTACGCAGAGTGACCTAGAAGCACATTTCTTTAGTATACATTATACATTTTAAATACGACTCTGGTAGGCCATCTATAAATTAATTTAAAAAAAACATGACTACAATTCTTATCTTTTAATAATTGCTAGTATTTATAGCGTCTAAATAAATAAAAATAGTATTTAATAATTAAGGTATAAATATTTATATTATAATATAAATATTTATACCTTTTTCCTTTCTTCGTGGGATGTTTTCATAGAAGGTAATCTCTTAGGGAAGTCTCTCATATGAGGCCGCTAGAGGCAGAGTAACTAAACTGCAATTTTATGACTTAACTTATTTATATTTATATAGTCAAAAAAGTTTATCTCCAAGAGTTTATTGTTTGTTAAAATGAATTTTAAACAAATAATAGTACAAACTCATTTTTGCCTATGCTAATTGGCCATTTTTTTTTCCTCGTTATTGAAAATCGTGGTTTTTTCTTAGGCCACTCTGCCTCTAGCGGCCGCACTTTAAAGTAGAATCTACTAAGAATTACAAAATATCCCTATAATTAAAGTAACAGAACACACAAGTGTTCATGGTCCATTTTGAATCTCTGTCAATAATTGTTTTTCTTAGAAGCATGTCTCTACCTTTTTGTTCTATTCCACTTCATCCAGTAAGTAGGTCCCTTTGTTCAACGGTTCATACATACACTCATTTCGTCGTTTAGTCACGGTCCTTATTTTTCAATCAAAATATCTTAGACAACGGATGTAAAGCTTTTTTGCCGTTTTTACTGAGAAATTTTGATGAAGTGTGAAAACACTCTTTGATACTGAGACAAGGAGTTTTGTTAGGGCATAAAGGAGTTCAATCCTTTCTTGTAGGATTTGGAAATTGGTTTTTACTGCAGCTTTTTGTCATAAAACAATTGCTCATGCGTTGTACAATAATTGAAATAAAAAACATCTGTCTTCATTTCATTTATATAAAAAACTATATGTCTTATAACAACATTAATAAACATTATCACACTACTTAAATATTGTCTGTTTACGCGAGTAGGTAATATACGTTTAAAAAAACCCTTGTGACGGCTTAAAACGCGTACTATATTTGTTAACTTTTCTAACATGTTATTTTTAACTACCACCCGATTTGGTGAGTTATTAAAAGTGTCTTATCATAATGTAAATATTAGGGTATACATTACATACATAGAAAATATAGACAAAAGAAGCTACGAAAATAGATCTGTTACAAAATCACAGAGAATTAACGGACGAATTCAATCAATGCACCTGAACCCACAAAAAATAGAGTCGCGTTGAAAAACACCCATCTGTTGTGCCACAGACTGCGCACTCCTCACTTCTTTTGTAACACTTGCACAGATGTCATTAAAAAAAATGTTAAACGTATGTAGAGTCATAGATAGATAATTTTGAAAGTAATAATTTAAAAAGATGGAATCGAAAGACACACAGCAACATAATTATTTCGTTTTTATTTATTCTTATTATCCAAAATGAATTACACTATAAAGTAGACAAACATTTTATACAAGATAAACGAAATCTACACGTACTGTTTATTATAATATACTCAGAGTTAAATGAAATCGCAACAAATTTATTTTTTGATAGAGTTAGACAGAAAACCTGGAGTTTAATTGATGAAAGGTGAAATACCATATAACATCTAAACAAGATGCGCTATCGATTTTGGGTTTTGGATATCCAGATATCAAAATACCGCTACCGAAATGCGATATAACTTCACGGCTTTTTCATCTGCGAACTCTGACGTACTTTCGATATTCTACCACCCAACTAATATTCAGATTTCCAGACAAAGTCTAACATGTTTTGGAAAAATAAAAAATCGATTACACACATAGTAAACATGGTAAATGGTGATTATTAGTAATAGGTACATTGACATTAGATCAACGAGCCCAAGAAAAAATAAAAAAAAATCTTAGTAACTCATTTGTTTTAATATAAAAGACATATTGTAATAGATTTTATTCACGAATTATCAGCAATTTAAATATTACATACTAGAATAATTCGTAAATAAATTATCGAGATTTAACTTAATAAAACATTAGCTTCGATTTTATAGATAAAAATAAATTATAAAAAGCGTCTGCAGCGAACAGTAGCGCAGACAGAAACGCTGACTCATCAGAATTGGTTACGCCTATGTCCATTTTAGTTTTTATCTTGTTTTTTAACGCGTCTGTACTCAATAGACTGCGAACTCTTAACTCCAAACTGTTTAATATAGGTTATTAGCTTTTTCTGTGATGGCAATATTTGAAATACATTAGAAATATTTTCGATAGTCTGTGTAAAAAGTGACGCGCAATTAGAACGACGTTAAAAAGAATAGATAAATGGTCACAATAAGCAATAGAAGCGAAAACTATATTTATATACAAAATTAAATGCAATTATAATTTATATATATTTACCGAGGTAACGATAAACCAAAATCAACGGGTCGCGGGTTTGATCCACACCGGGTTCAAATTTTTCATCGATTTATATTTTTTTCTGAAACACGTTGGACTTCTTCTGGATATTGAGTAAATGGTAGGAAGATCGAACTTCCGTCCGGGTCACGAACTGTCCACAGATGAAAAGGCCGTCAACTTTACCGCATTTCGGTTGCAGTCTGTGTATTTCGGATATCCAAGGTCAAAATAGGTCGGCAGCGCACAAGTTTAGATGTATGAATGGT